CTGAGCCCGCCAGGTTCCCGTGGGCAGCCCCGGGCGGAGGCTCCTCCGAGCCGGCCTCGACCTTCACCTCCCCTCCACACGCCCCCCAGAGCTCCGTGGGGGCTCACCTTGAGGGCCAGGGGGTCGGGCCGGGCTGCGCCGCTTCCCTCGGGCTCCTGCCCTCACGTGGCCAGCTGCCCCCACTCCGAGTTCCCTCCCGAGGTCTCCCTGCTGACCCTCCCCAGGCCCGCCTGTCGGTTCCTGGGCGGGCACCCACGTGCCCCGCTCTGCGCGCCGGAGGTGGCATCTGGGCTGTGTCTCCTGCACCCCCCGGAGCATCGAGAACGGGTGGTCGCTGCCATCCTTCACTGCGGCAGAGAGGCTGGCCGGGCTGGCGCAAAGCTGGGCTTCCGCCAGCCAGCGCGTCCGCCGCTCTCTAAAGCCACTGGCCCCCGCTCCTGCCCAGCCTGGGAGAAGCCGGCATTTGTGGGGTCGAAGGCAAGGTCACCCATTTGTTTCTCTTAGACCATCCTCATCAACGTCATCTGATCGTCGCTAGCTGACCCGGATTGAGTGGGTACCAAGCGCCCGGCGTGTTCGTGTTCGCATGCAACCCTCACCAACAAGTCGGATCTGTTTCCTCCAGAGGCCCGGGGCCACGGAGGAAGTTGCCTTACTGAATGCCCGAGGTCGCGCCTCCCGTTGGGCAGCCACTCTACATCAGCAAGGTGTGGCGCCAGTGGACGGTGTGTGTCCAGTGCGGAGACCACGCGCAGGCAGTCCCGGCTAACAGGCGCCGTGTGCGTGTGCGAGCGCAGAGGGAGTTGACCCACCAGTTACTGAGTGAGTCGGAGGTTTCAGAGTTGGAAGAAGTCCATTTGCGGCAGCAGGGCAGGGGACCTTGTAGGAGGGGAGAGCTTTGCTGTCAAGGGCATTGTGGATCATAGCAGCCCTCTAGGGCAGAGTGCCCCAGTGGGTTTCCAAGAATGTAAATCTTTACAGAAGCAGAAAGCTGTAAATCGTTACAGAAGTGGAAAGCCGTAAATCGTTACAGAAGTGGAAAGCCTCATCTGGTGGATTTGAACTGCTAATCGTGAGGTTTCCAGTCTAACTGGGGACCCACTACACCACCAGGGCTCCTTGTAGGCAAGAATGGAAATCAAACATCTCACTGCCACCAAGTCAATTCTGACTCTTGGTGACCCTGTAGGACAGGGTAGCATTGCCCCTGTGAGTTCCCGAGACAGTAACTCTTTGTGGGAGTAGAAAGCACTGTTGCCAGTGGAGCGGCTGGTGGTTTCTAACTGCTGACCTTGCGGTTGGCAGTCTAACGCATAGCCACTATGTCACAAAAGCAATGGTTAAGAGGCTCTGGATGAGATGGTCTCCTTGGGTTGGAGGAGAGATGGAGTCAGGACCCCGAGGGAAGCCTAGTAAGCGGAGAGGCAGAGAGGAGGGGTGAGGTGAAGGACTTTGATTCACCCCTATGCTACATAGGAAGCGGAGGCGCATGTCCCAGCATGCTCCCCTATGGCTTTCTCTTCTTTCAGAACCCAGCTTCCTCCTCCCCTTGGGCTTTGCATTTTGGGCACCTTGCCCCTTCCATTCCAGACAGACTAGCATAGTGGTTACAGACAGACTTCAGGATCAGACAGACCTGCCACTTAGTATGAAGGCAAGGAACTTGAACTCAAGAGTCTTTCTTGCCTTATTTGTAAAAGGTAGCCGTGATTGGGTGTCTCGGATATACCACGTGTGAAAAAAGCTGTTTGGGCATGTGCAATCATCCTTCCATGCCTGGCACACAGCGGCTCTCAAGCGATGTAGCCTGTTTTTTCCCTTGCCTTCTTTGAGAGTCGTGAAATTGTTCTTGGGGAGATTGAACAGCACCTTGCAAAAGCCTTCCCAGAGTATACTGGGGCGGGGGTGGTGGTGGGGGGTGTGGGGTGTTGCAGGGAGGAAGGTCAGGGCGGAGATGGACGGCTGCCTCCTGGAGGCAGGCATAAAATGGTTCTGGCCTGCCCACCTTGGGATCACTGATAGTCTCCCAGCCTGATGCAGTCATCTAGGGCCCGTTCTATGCCCCACCTTGCATCGGAACAGCTTTCCTCTTTAGCCTGCCTGGGGACCCCAGGCTTGTTTACGCCACCAGGCTATCTGGTTCCACTGCAACCCAAAGTGCATTGGAAATTAGAAATCATGCAATGCTCACAATCGTCCTTGGGGCCAGGCAGCTCTGAGGAAGCTTCTCTACTTTATCAGAGGAACACAGTCACAGGTTAATTATGGAGTGTGTGGTGCAGTGAATTGCTTTAATGTGCCCCTCTAGCCATGGTCTTGTAATTCCCATAGAGATTGGGTGGGGCTATGCAAATAAGTTGCTTATGGCCCATCAAGGGGATTAAATCCTTTCACTAAGGCAAACTTGGTATATGGAACCCTGGTAGGGGATTGGTCAGTTTTGCCATCCTGCTAGTCTTAAAGGTTGGAAGGGGAACTCACCATCACCAAGAAGAGCCAGGAGCAGATACGTCCTTTGGACCTGGCATTCTGGTGCTGGCAATCTCTTTGACCAGTGTTTTTCAAAGTGGGCAGTACTAACCCCTGGGAGGCACTGGCTACCTATGCTTTATGGGAGGTTATGGGCTCCTATACAAAAATTTTCAGTTGCCTAAGAGATGCTAAGTAATTTTTAAAAATTTTTAGTGATAAATTTCATACCTTTAATCAGAAACCAAATAGTCAGGGCTCTGGTTTCTAAAACATAGATTTCCACTACTGGAATTATTATTTTTTAATTAATTTATTTTTATTGGAATTTTTTTAAACTCATCTTATTGGGAGCTCTTATAAATATCATACATTGCATAATTCAAGTAGATCAAGCATAATTGTACAATTGCTACTACAGTTTCAAAACATTTTCTTTCTTCTTGAACTCTGATATCAGCGCCCCTCCCCTCAATCCCAGGGAAGGTCAATTCACCTACAATTCTGTTATTCGCTCCCCACTTGAGTGGAGTTATACAGTCATCATTGCTATCAGCTTAACCCCCCGCCCCCCATCTTCTCATATCCTCAGGGAATCATTACTCCTGTTGCTGTTTCTGTAGGGTCATCCAACCTAGCATTCCTGCATTGAACTACCTTATACACATGAACATACGTAGGGCTAACACTATTAATGAGGTGAAACACAAGCTTTCAAAGTAAGGGGAAGAAATATTAAAGAACCAGAGGATAGTTGTGTTTCATCAGTGCTCTACCATACCCTGGATTTTTCATTCCCCCTGTGCAAGTGAGGGCCTGTCCAATTGTCTTGCAGGTAGTTTTTTGGGTCTTCACTTTGTCCTCACTCCTTCCTATCAATGATTGCTCGTTTTTGAAATTCTGATACCTATTCCTGCCGACACCTCATGATCACACAGGCTGGTGTGCTTCTTCCATGTGGCTTTGTTGCCTCCCTGCTCAATGGCTGCTTGTTTGACTACAAGTCTTTAAGACCCCCAGATGCTGTGTTTTTAATTTTTTTCCTGAAAAAGTCAAATAAGTTTGGGAACCTAAGTGCTAGACCTCGGAGAACAGAGCTGGAACACTGAAGACTGCATGAAACACCAGTGGCATGGGACCCGTAGGGCAGCTCAGCACCGGGCAGGGCTAGAACTGAGCACTGAAGGAAGGAGGCTCCCTGGCAGAGTTCCTGCCTCTGGGAACTTACTGGCAAAGAGCTTTGGGGCACTTGCCCAAGCTGGGCGGAGGGTTGAAAGCTAGGGCTGGGGAAAAAGGCCAGTCTGCAGGCACAACTTCTCCAAGTAGTTGTCCTGAGTCATTCCTGTTACTTTCAAATGGATTCTGCTGAATCGTAACCTGTTACCTCCTTAATGAACCGCATCATTGTATGGTCTGTGAGTTCTGTGTGGCCGTAGCGATGAATTATCAAAGCTGTCAGAGAAGTAGAGTGTGGTGGGACGGTGTTAGCATCCGTAAAAAGGTCGGCAAGTTTGGGGTATGTCAGACCTCCACCTCATAGGAACCACCTTTGGACTGATTCTCCTGCCCACTCCTAAAATGAGACAAAGAGGTCTGACTGCATGCCATTTTTATAGGCCTCATACTGGCTCTCAGTGGCAGGTCATTTAAGGCAGCATTTTTATATGAAAAACAAGTAATTGAGAGTTACAGGATAATGTGTAAGATGCAAAATTTGCCTGACGTTGCTATTCAGCTGTTGGGGTTACCTCCTGGTGACCTAAGTTGGTTACACATTGACTGTGCTGTGATCCACAAGGTTGGCAGTTTGAAACCACTAGCAAGCAGCTCCTCGGGAGAAAGACGGGGCTTTCTGCTCCCATACAGGGTCTTGGAAATTCAAAGGGGCAGTTCTACCCTGTCCTATAGAGCCACTTTGAGTGATGGCAGTGTTTTCTGCTACTCAGCTAAGTCAATTGGACTTGCCAACGTCAGGGGGGGCTAACGTGCATCCTGAGGGCCATATTCACTCCCCTCTGCCATGGGGGAAGCTTTGGTGGTAGTGAAAGGCCGTCTTTTGGGTCTGATCTTGAGCCTCATGTGGCTTTGCTTCAGATGACACTTGATGCCCAAGGGGTAAGCTCGGGTTCTAGGGCATAGGTGCCTGGGCCCACTGGGGAGGCCCAGATGTGAAGCAGGACCAAGACCAAAACTTGCCTGCATCCACCCTCACTAACCCCTTCATTGCCAGGGGTCCCACTGAGTTTTCAGAGGCGGGAGCCTGCCATGCAAAGTGGATCAAGTGAAATGGAGCAAAAGGGGAGAGCTCTAAAGACTGGATTCAAACTCACCCTTGGAGCTGGGTGAGTGCGGTTGTTGGGCCTCTGCCCAAAGTCATGATGATCCGATAGCAGTCCCATCTCAAAACGGGGGAAGCTCCTGGACACCAAGTCCTTGAACGTCACTTCTCCGGCCGAGAACAGGGCCTAACCAGCCTTCAGCAAGCTCCCCGCTAGTTGGCAGCATCCAGCATGGCAGGGCAAAAGCTCCACAAGAAAATGTGATGGCAAGTTTGCGGCCAACTCGGAAACTTTTCAAGAAACATCTTTGTTGCTAATAAAATGTCTGGGGGCTGGTTAGGATTCTAGGATTAGTGTTCAGGAGCTAGAAATGGGTAACAACGGGGGAGGTGTGATCTTTCCCAAGTGCCACACCAGGTATTAAAATAAACAGGCTCTTGCCTCCTGGAGCTGGGGGTGGCAGGGAAAAGAAATACAGGTCCAAGCAAAATCAGAAAATGCATCAATACATGAAGTGGGAGTGGGAAGGCCCAAACCTGGAGTCCTCAGCTCTTTTCTGGCCGCAGAAATGACCCACCTGTGATCTCCGTTATTCCCTAGTTGCTATTCTGGGAGCAGAGGAGCATGATCTGAAATGGAAGTCTGGGGCCAGTGGGGCCCTGCTTCTGGAGATTGAACGCACAGGCATCTGGGGAGGCTTTGCAAGGTTGGAGGCGGCCGTGGGCAAGCACAAAGGGAGGGAGGACCCAGGACAGAACCACCTGTGAAATGCAGTAGGCAGCTGTGGGTTAAGTTGATTGAGGGCAGAGATGTGGAGTCAGAAGATCTGGGTCTGCACCATCTCGCCCATCATGTAGAAGTCCTGGGAGGGCAGGGAACAGCAGGTACAACAGCCTCCTGGCTCCCAGTGGACAGGACAAGAGGAAGGAGGGGGCATGGAGGGGTCCCCTTCGTATCAGTCCGTGTCCCTAACCCTGGCTAGAAACACCAGAGCGTTTTGAAATGCAGTTTCCTCCAGGCCTTACCTGCACACTAGCCTAACCATCTAAGTTCTCCGGGTGATATGAATGTGTACTCAATGGTTGAGAGCCTCTGCGCCAAGGATGTTCTAAATTTATCCAACTAGACTCCAGCTGGGTCCTGGGAAAGCCCCTCTTCTGCACAATCAATGCTCTACTCTCACCAAGAGCACCCTGAACCACTCCCCTGCTTGCCCCTGCCTCCCATGTGAACGGTGTTATTCCGATGGTAGCTTGGGCCCAGTGCAGTACTTCCTGTTGTACACAGGGTCACAACCGACTGCACAGCACCTAACCGCTGTCAAAATGGTGTTCTTAATGCACTCAGGGGATAGGAATACAAGCAGCTGTTTCTGAGCACCTGCTGTGTGTCAGAGTTTGGTTTGGTTTTAACTAGGCTGGACCAGTATTCTGTGGTTTGGCAGTTAAAGTCTAGTCATCTTTCACGACATGATCTAACAATGCAATCAACTCCATAATGGGGTCTGCTGCAAGCAGCCAATCAGTTAAGATTATGCTGGAATTCATCTCACCCAAGTCACCCCTGATGCAAACTGACAGATTTCCTTTGCCTACTTCCTATAAAAATGGACTTTTTTGGTGTGTGTGTGGCTTGGTCCAGATCTTGCATCTGGCTCATTCACTAACATTTGTCTTTTTTGGACCGGAGTCAATAGCCTGCCGTATTGCAGGCCTACCCTGGGAGCCATGAGTAGCCTGTCATCTGACCTCAGATTCATCCACCTCTCCAGCTACTAGCCTGTGGTCTTCCTGCTGATCAGCTCCCAAAGGTACAAGAGAAGCCCTAGCTTAACATCTGACCCATGGACTTGGGACCTGCCAAATTCCATAACGATACAAATCTCTCAATATACATAAATGCGCACCACTCACTCTGGTTCTTTACAGAGAACCTAATCTAAGATAGTGTGCCAAGCACTGGGCAAAGCACTCCAGGAAGAGGCTCAGGGACTTGTCTGAGGCCATGCAAGTACTGAACTCCTTAGCTTATTTCCACTTCAGGCTGTGGGCGATTTCAGCAGCTGACATCTCAGCAGAACACAAGGGCCCTTTACCTTGACGGCACCTAGGGTGTACGCGTGCGTGCATGCATGCACACACACAGGTGAGCATGTGCAGATGGGCAGAGTTGTCTTTGACTTGAGTCCCTTGGGAAGTTTGTTTTAAAGCAGCATTCTTTCTTTTTGTTTGGAATATACAGGCAGGGCTGAGAAGAGGCCTTTGTAAGCGGAGAGATTAGTAAAATGCCCTGGGTGATAGAAAACCAATGAAAAACAAGTGCTCCTTCTGCCTCTGGGCCTCGCTGGCTGGCGGCCTGCCCACAGGTCTGAAAGAACTGCACTGTCTGGCTGCTTGCCCCTGGGACAGTCCGCCGCCGGGGCCCAAGCGGTGAACCAGCCAGGGAAGACAGATTGGCTCTGAGTGCTCCCTGCCTGCGGGCCTATGTGTGCAGTCATCACGGTACTGGGTATAGGATTCTTCTTCACACTAATCTTAAATTCCTCTGTTAAGTCCTTGGGAGAGCTAGGATGTTTTAAAGTTACTGTTTAATAGAGTGGTTATGATTTCTGTGGAGTGTCAATTCTGAGAACAAAGTACATACCATACACTTTATTTTGTGTAAATGAGTTTATTGATGAAGACAGAAGATCAAGCTTCCCTGCAACCCCCACCCTCCCCAGGAGAATCCCAACAATAACAAAAGAATGACAAGCATTCTTTGGGTAACACTGACCCCCCCTCCCCATTTCTCTCCACACCCCAAGCTTCACAACACAGACATACAGCACAGACCTGGGAGAGGACAGACACTCAGGGAACCTCTGACCAACTAAGAGTCCGGGTGTAGCTGCTTCCCTTGCCCTTTGTACTGATACCAGGCAGCGGTTTCAGAGACACAACCGAGGCAGAGGAGGGGAATGCAGGACAGCTTCCACACCTCAGCCCAGGCCAGGAAGCTCATGGGAAGCCACGGGCCCAGCTTTTCGGAAGAGAAGTCTTTTTGCCCAAGCAGAATCCCTTCCTAATTCTGCTCTGGGTACCAAGGCTGGCAGTCTTCCCAAGGAGCCAATAGTACATGAATCGGTTCAGTCGGGCCGGCTGAGAACAGAGGCTGTTTTATTCCCTCTTCGGTGGGGAGCCTGAGGAAAGGCTAGGTTTTGGGGGCGAGGGACATATCTTGCTGTAAAATGGTCTTCTGCCTCCTTGCCCTGACAAACACCTTTCCTTCTGGGACTATGTGTGCTTTGAGCCAGGAACACTGTCTCTGTAGTGTAGTGTGAATCTTCTTCATGGCTGGTCTTTAACTGGCTCCATGGATGACCTCCCAATCAGGGAACTTTATCCACATGTGTTTCCACACCAAACATGGCCAACCTACCCACCTCACATGGCAATCCTGTGCTAGTGCCTGGTCTTCATATACTTGATGGGCATTCAGTGCAGGGTATATTTTTCTCACCCTCCCCAACAACTCTTCTCTTGGAGTTGAGATACTCAAGTTTAAGAACTGCTTTGTGAGGGCCCCGCTCTCCCAAGCTTTGCCACTAGGAGGAACCAGGGTCATTTCAGACTTTATGGGGGCCGGGGGTACCGGTGGCCAATTTCTCCTCTTGGACTCACTTGTGAGTCTGAGCCCACCTTAAGGCCTCTCAACTTTTAAGTACCTCTGACCTTTGTAGGGACAATGAAAAAAGCAGTCTTAATCAAGAACCCTTGATACCAGGTACCAGGAAAGGCGCCAGGCAAAGCAACCAGGCCTACAGAGAGGACTGTGTAAGCATCGCCAAAGAAGTGGATGCCTGGGCTCGGCTGCGGAGGGGCCGTCCCATGCCCCAGAATTCTGAGAGTGGACCAGAGCTGCTTGGCCCCTGTGAGGTGACCTTGGTTTGTCTTGGAGTGTAAGTACCGTGAGTACATGGCGGGTCAGAGAGCTGGAGGGAGAAAGCAAATCTGTGACATCTCTAAAACTCACTTCATCTCTGCATCTGGATTTACCTTCAAGTAGTTGAAAAGCTACTCTGCCGCCACTGATGCCAATGAATGAGCGTCAAGACCAGTATGTAGCATGGGAACAGCCACAGAAGCAGCCACACGAGGGGCAGGAGAAGGGCAGACGCAGAGCCAGCTCTGAAGTGAACACCACTGTGCAGGCTTTAGGAAACCTGGTCTCCTCTCTGCTCCTAAAAGGGGGCCAGCACGCTGCCCCAGCACGACACCCTTTCTTCTTTGTATTGTTCTTTGTAGGAAAACATGGTTAGATGAGTTTACTACTTGAAGGCCGTTTCAACACCAGTGCTCTGATTTTAGATGGGAGCTGGACCTGAGAAATACAGGGAAGGGAGCGAGGGGAAGGTGTTTGGTTCCTGTTCTCTCTCTGTACAAATCCCGCACTCAGCGATATTTGTAAGGAGCCCCAGTAGCACAGTGGGTGAAGCACTGGGCTGTGGGCAGAAAGGTTGGTGGTTCAATCCCACCAGGCTGAGCTGCGGGGGAAAGATGAGACCATCTGAAACTGTGCAGATTCCCCGCCTTGGGAACCCCATGGAGGCCAACTCGGCCCCACCGGGTCCCTCTGAGTCTGATTCTGACTCAATGGCTACAGGGGGTTTGGTCCCGTTTCTTTTCAAATCCCTTCATGTTCTTTGTGGGCTAGTTGAGGGGAAAGGAATGTTGTGTCAGCTCTCTTTTCTCAGTCCTGGGGCCACAAGCCCTGATTCCCTGCATCCTGCAGGATCCTTCCAGGGAGCACGTCATCCCTAAATGCAGAGCCGTTGCATGAGATGACACTGTGAGGCAATCACAATGCCTGGTCAGAGGGGGTGTGTGTGGGGTGGGCAAAGACTGGGTCTCTTCCTCCAAGGACGGGTGGTGAACGACACCCAGGGGACGAGCACTTCGGACAGGTTGCACTCCTCCCCATTCTTAATGTGCACAAACATACAAAACAATACAGTGTAGTATATGTTTCAGGGACACTTTTCCTGCTTTAATTCCCCCCACCTCCCTTTTCTGCTGTGGACAGGTGCTCTCGATTACAAAATACCAAACCACACTCAAAAGCAGGTGCAGGAAACGCCAGCCATTGGCACAGCATAGAGAAGCCCGCAGGTAAGGACGGACAGCAGCGGTGGGGTCAAGAGGTGGGAAGTGATTGAAGCGGTGGTTACACATGTTCACAGGAAGCTAAAAATATCCAGCAGGGTATGCCCTAATGTGAGGACGGGTTACACTAGTCACTACCTTGGTTGGTGGCCTCCGTGTGTTTGGGTTCATCTACACATCAACACAATTTCTTCCAGTTAAGCGCTCTTGGCTTGCACCAATCACAGGGTGGCTGGAGGGCACGGGACCAGTCCATTAGTTTTTCAAAATGCTGTCATAAACCTGATAGACGTACTGAGAGACTTCAGGAGCTCTGCACTTCAGTGACAGCTGTTAGGAGAGAAGAAAAGAGGAGATCAGCACAAAAGTTGGCCCCTGAGAAGCTGGCTCAGGAAACCTCTGGCCCCGTGGCCCTGAAGGTGGTGAACTAGCCAAAGAGCCACACATATAGGGATATTTGGGGGTGTAGATGTTCAGTTGCGTCAACATCAATGCTGTGTTTCCATCTGTATCCATTCTGTGGGTCTGTGAGGGGAGCTGACACACACAACAGGCATCAGAGTGTTCTGACTCTCAGGGGAACAGGAGTTCTGATGCTCTGCCAAGGCCCTGTGATGGCCACTGCACACAGTCAACTTAGTTTCTCCGTTCGGAGAGGCGGGGGACCCCCGGCACAACTCAGAAGCCTGCACAACTGGGTAAACAAAAGCCTAAGTGAGTTAGCTTAAGTCGAGTCCAATGCACAAATCCTTCTGCACTACATTGAGGAGGTTAAGGCGGGGAAAAGAACATAAAAGATATTTAATGTAATCAGAAAGCAATTCATGTTAATAGCATCAGCCCCTTACCCCTGGCCTGGCAAATAACATTAATATTTACTTTGTGGGCCAACAAGGCAAAATTTAAAACCAGATATAGACCCCGTAATTATTTTATTAGCTATCATAATCTGTTTTTTCTTTTAAAAGGCCAACCTAGCAGGGAACTGTCGTGGTTGAGTTGATCCAAATGCGCGTCAGAGTACAACTGTGCTCCACAATGTCTCAGCGGCTCATTTTGGGAAGAAAATCGCCAGGCCTGTCTTCCGAGGCACTCTGGAACCGCCAGCTTTTCAGATAGCAGCTGAGTATGCTAGCCACTTGGCATCATTCAGGGTTTCCCCAATATGTTTTAAGCATGCAAAATGCATTCTAGAAGAGGGAATGAATGATTTTTAAACGTCTGTATTGCTGACATTGTTGCTCTTGTCTATTTGGGCAGATGAGCAAAAGTTATTGCACCATGAAATTTTAGGTACTTTTACCCCTTTATTCCCTTATTTAAAAGAAGCCCTGGGGGGAGGCAGTGTTGTTAAGCACTTGGCGGTGAACTAAAAGGTCAAATCCAACAGTTGTTCCTTGGGAGAAAGACATGGCAGGCAGTCTATATCCTTAAAGATGTACAGTCTATGTCCTACAGGGTCACTAATGGATCAAAATCAACTCAGCAGCAGCAGCAGCAGGTGTGGTTGGTTACTCTCTTGTCAGAGAGTCTGGGAGATTTGATAGAGTTACAAAAGGTGAGATTATCTTTGGAAAAAATATTTTAAAAATATACTGGTTAACCTTGAATTTCTCAGAAAGACCAAAAGCCTAAAAAAATAAAAGTAAAACTTTAAAATAAAGAAAAATTGAGGTCTATTTACATTTAATATTTAGTCCCCAAGGCATTTCTAAACTACTACTTGATATCCGCCAAGATGTGATAAACGTAAAACAATTCTGATAAATGTAAAACAAAACACAGCTAACTGAAGAATATAAATATGCAGAGAAAACAGCCCTCTGGTCAGATGTACAGCGATATTTACTTCCCTGACTCTTATACTCTCAATAGAAGCAAGCTCCTATCCCTCCTGTTCCTCCTCAGCCTCTTCTTCCAAGATCGTGGACAATTCTCTTGGGAGAAGATGTGGGTTCAGAAAAGGAGAGGGCATTAGAAAGAGTAAGCACAGTTCATGGAAGGTAAAGCTCACACTAAAGAGAAGCTCCTCTCTCCCCAAATGCGGTCCTGCAGTTTTGATACCTTTGAAACGATACTTGAAGCTCTAGAGTTAGAGACTTATTTTCTGAGCAACTAGAGAGGAAATGGCCCTTCCTTCAAGAACTGCCTACACCTGCAAGGCTGGCCCTGGTGGGAAGTCATGGAATGATCAGGCCCGACTCCTGCTTTGGGGAGGAGTGAGCTGAGAAGGGGCAAGAATTATGTTGCCTCTCGCCAAATACCCACCACCATCTAGGCCTGTAACCAAGGGTCAAAGCTGGACCTAAACACGTATCTTGCTTTCCAACTAGTACAGTGAAGGCAAGCACGGTTTTTGAAAAGCATTAATATAGAATTTTTTTGGGGGGGTCTAATATACAAAAAGAGCAAAGAACTGAAATAATCTGACTTATGAAAGATAGCTAGGGCTCTAGGCCTCATTTTGTACAGCTCCTGGGGAAAGAGGTTTTACCTATGTCTTAGTTTTGTAACTGCTAGTCCGCTGTGTGACACCACTTTAACATCCACCGCGCAGGCATGCCACCCATCTCGCGCCACCGGGAGGGGAGAGTCACCTCTCCGTAAGATGGAAGCCAAAGGCTTAACCACTCAACTCTGGTTCTCGCTGGAATGAATGCTTCTTCACCTGGACCAAGCCTTTCTTTCCAGGGGACTTACCTGCCTACAGATATGTGGCCTCGCTCGACCTTTTTAGATGAAGATCATTATATAATAAGGTGTTACTATTAGGTAGCTAGAGGTATGTCCCTCTGCAAGCCAAAGCCTGCCTCCCCCATCACAGGAACTTGAAAGCTGCTTAAGGCTAGAGGGCAAGCACACATTCAGGTCTTTGGGACAAGAAGCCAGTACACCTGGGTGGGACCCCATTTAGGACAGGTGGGCTTAATCTAGCCAATGGGGTTAACTAATATAGTTAACCACGTCTCCCAAGGTGGGGGGTGGAAGGCCTGAAAAAGCCATAAGTTTTCTCTCACAGGGGCACTCTCTGGCGGCTCAGACACACAGTATGGTGCGGCCGGGCTGCAAAGCCCAGTGTAGCCACGCTGGGGTCCCCAGCAACCGTGCTATAGACTCTGTCTGGCTAGTGTTCCATTTACCGTTATGCCTAAAAACTGCTTCTGACCTTTATAAAACTTATTGGATCACTCAAGTTCTCCCTCAACACAAGAATACTTTCTTCTATTAAATTGGCATTCTATGATGCTCACCTTCCCGACACAACCGCTGAAGACAAAGCGGGTGAATAAGCAAATGTGGTGAAGAAAGCTGATGGTGCCCGGCTATCAAAAGGTATAGCGTCTGGGGTCTTAAAGGCTTGAAGGTAATCAAGCGGCCATCTAGCTCAGAAGCAACAAAGCCCACATGGAACAACATATCAACCTGTGTGATCACGAGGTGTCGAACGGATCACTGAAGACAAATGGGTGCATAAGCAAATGTGGCGAAGAAAGCTGATGGTGCCCGGCTATCAAAAAGTATAGCATCTGGGGTCTTAAAGGCTTGAAGGTAATCAAGCGGCCATCGAGCTCAGAAGCAACAAAGCCCACATGGAAAAAGCACACCAGCCTATGCAACCACGAGGTGTCGAAGGGATCAGTTATCAGGCATCAAAGAACAAAAAGAAGGGATCAGGTGTAAGGCATCATCAGAACAAAAAATCTTACCATAGTGAATGATGGGGGGAGTGTGGAGTGGAGATCCAAAGCCCATTAGTAGGCCACTGGAGATCCTCTTGCAGAGGGGTCTCGGGGAGGAGATGAGCCAGTCAGGGTGCGATGTAACAATGATGAGAAATACAACCTTCCTCTAGTTCCTAAAAGTTTCCTCCCCGCTCCCACTACCATGATTCGAATTCTATCTTGCAAGACTGGCTAGACCAGAGGAGGTACACTGGTACAGATAGGAACTGAAACTACAGGGAATCCAGGATGGATGAGCCCTATAGGACCAGTGGTGTGAGTGGCAAAACAGGGAGGGTAAAGGGAGAATGGGTAGGGAAGAGGGAACCGATTACATGGAACTGTGTGTGACCTCCTCCCTGGGGGACAGACAACCGAAAAGTGGATGAAGGGAGAAGTCGGACAGGGCAAGATATGAAAAAATACCCATTTATAAACTATCAAGGGCTCATGTAGGAGGGGGGAGCGGGGAGGGAGGGGAAAAATGAGGACCTAATGTCGGGGGTTTAAATGGAGAGAAAATGTTTTGAGAAATGATGTACAAATACGTTTTACACAATTGATGTGTGTATGGATTGGGATAACAGTTGTATGAGCCCCTAATAAAATGTTTAAAAAAGAAAAAAAAAACAAAAAAACTTATTGGATCACAAACTAGGCTTCAGCGTGAATTCTTTTTCCGGCGAAGCCAAGGACCAAGGTATTTCCCACCGGGGAAAACCTAACATTACCACTAGGGTAAGGTGACCAGATTTTAACATTGGTAAAGTGGCACACCATTGATAAAACTCATATCCTGGCGAAATAGCCACATGGCAGCCAAAAACTGTATACCCTAGCTTGTCGTGCATTTTTTCCAAAAACCGGGACTTTCTATAAACGCCGCGGGATGTCTGGTCACCTTACAATAGGGGAAACTATTATCTTACAACTATCTCAAAATAACCTGTCCAGGTCTGGGCAAGCTGACACCCACGGTTAATCCTGTCACAACGAGGGAGAAAGTGTTGTTCAGTGGACAAGTGGCTGAACAAACTGTGGGTTATGCAGCCAGTAGACTATTGTACCAAGCTCAGGGTACATATCGAGGGATAGCAAGTTGACGAAAGAGTAGGGAAAGGGCAGCGGGGCGTCAGGCCTCAAGGGCAGAGCACGGGGAGAACGTGGCCGGAGCGCTTCCACGTCCCGACTGTGCTGGTTGCTCTCCAATGACACAGTGAGAGAATGTCACGTCGCTCTGCTGCTCTTCCCCCCGACCCCCACTTCCAAAGCTAACATAAAAACGGAGAGGGCTTCAGAAAAATAATTTGTGGCAAAGTGGGACTAAAAGATAATGGTATGTTTCCACGAACTTTATGAAGCCCCCCCTTAGATGTGAAAACTGGCAAAATATGAAAACAATTCCTAGTTAAACAGTCCTGTAATAATATAAATTTCTAGGTATTAAAATGTACTAAAGTTATGTAAGATGTTATTAATGGGAAAAACTGGGGGAAAGGTACTATTTTAATTTTTTCTTATTGAGTTCTGAAATTCCTTTGTAAATAAGCCTTAAGTACAAAAATTAAAATAAAAAAAACTTTAGCAAATTGTGGTTAGAATGGTTACATTAGTAAGACCCTCCTCCAGCTCCATCCTAATAAGCAGAAGACACAGGAGATTGGGTCAAGAGATACCTGAGTTTAAACACCTACAGATTGATAAACCCAGGGGCAAGAGAACAAGTGATCTAAAATTGATGGCGAGGAGGGTGTAGGAGGCCTGGTCGGACTTGATCAAGGGCAATGTAACCAAGAGGAATTACTGAAACCCAAATGAAGGCTGAACATGAGAGTGGGACAAGAGGAAAGAACAAGGAAACAGAGGAAAGAAGTAGGAAGCAAAGGACATTTATAGAGGTTTAAATACAGGCATGTACATATGTAAATATATATATGAGGATGGGGATATAGATCTATGTGCATATATTTATAGGTTTCGTACTAAGGTAGTAGATGGACATTGGGCTTCTACTCAAGTATTCCCTCAATGCAAGAACACTTTGTTCTATTAACCTGGCACTCCATGATGGTCACCATCCCAACAGGATCGCTGAAGACAAAGGAGCATAAGCAAATGTGAAGAAAGCTGATGGTGCCCGGCTAGCAAAAGATATGGTGTCTGGGGTCTTAAAGGCTTGAAGAAAAACAAGTGGCCATCTAGCTGAGAAGCAACAAAACCCACATGGAAGAAGCACTCTTATGTGTGTGATCACAAGGTGTCGAAGGGATCAGTTATCAGGCATCAAAGAACAAAAAATCATATCATTGTGAATGAGGGGGAGTGCAGTGGAGACCCAACCAGTTGCCCCTTACAGAAGGGTCTCAGGGAGGAGACGAGTCAGTCAGGGTGCAGTATAGCAATGATGAAACATACAACTTTCCTCTAGTTCTCTAGTGCTTCCTCCTCCTCCTCCCACTATCATGATCCCAATTCTAACTTACAAATCTGGCTAGATCAGATTTAGCCAGTACACTGGTATAGATGACAGCTGGAAACACAGGGCATCCAGGACAGATAAAGCCCTCAGGGCCAATCATGAGAGGAGCGATACCAGGAGGACGAGGAGAAGGTGGGGTGGAAAGGGGACAACCGATCACAGTGATCTACATATAACCCCCTCCCAGGGGGATGGACAACAGAAAAGTGGGTGAAGGGAGACGTCGGACAGTATAAGACATGACAAAATAATAATAATTTATGAATTATCAAGGGTTCATGAGGGAGGGGAAAAATGAAAAGCTGATACCAAGGGCTCAAGTAGAAAGAAAATGTTTTGAGAACGATGATGGCAACAAGTGTACAAATGTGCTCGACACAATGGATAGAGGTATGGATTGTGATAAAATTGTAAGAGCCCCCAATAAAATGATTTAAAAAAGAAAAAAAAAACAACCAAAACCACCACCCCCCAAATCGATAAACTCTTCACCATGTCAGGACTCCCTGTTTCACCGTGGCTTCCTTTGCTGCAACCTGGGGTAACACTGCTCCCTCCGCTTAGCTGAGGCCAACGGGGGAAAGCAACACAACAGGTAAGTGACACAAAACAAGACACCTACAGGGCTTCAAAAAGTTCATGGGAAAAATCCCATTAGGTCTGAATTCCTTTCCCCACATGTACGAAAATTTCCCTCGTTTCCATTCAAGTTCTACATTTCTAGAATAAAACTTGCACCTGCATTAAATTTAAAAAGCGAGGGCTGTTGGAATCGCTTGCTAATACTATTCATGGCTAATTTCGGTCTCCACGACTTGCGTGGGAGCAGCACAGAGATATCTACCAGGGGAACACACGGCAGGTCAGGCAGGACGGGATCGGGATCGGCACACTGGGGGCTCCTCAAGAAGACGCTCTGCCTCCTAGCACAATCCTGAGCCCTCCGTTACGCACCCAGCACACAGCACGGGAGTGCTGACGAGGGCGGCAGTGGGTCTCACGCCAAGGCTTTGAGGGGAGTAAGTGGTTAGTTATAGTATAGACCCCGCCTTTACAATGAGAATGGGTCTTCCGGGAACAGTCAGTATAGCACAGCGGGGTTTTCATTTCTTGGGGGAACTCAAGGTAAATGGCGGGTCAGAATGACCAGACTGCAAGATTGACAAGCGACTAGAGGTGGAGGAGCGTGTGGGACCGTGTCTTCAGCTCACAATTGCTTTGCAAACATCTAACTTGACAGGACTGAGCAGTTCACACATACCTGCTCGACGCCCAGCTTACTTCACAGTCGGGCACGAGAGAGGAGCACCCTGGGAATGTTCAGTTGTTAGTACTGTTCCCTAGGTTTATGCTAGCAGAAGCAGGCTTGGTTGCCAAAATTAAGGAATGGAGTCACAGAATTGTCGCATGTAATAGCTAAGAAATGCTCCCTGGTGGCTAAAAGGCTTAATCTACTTACTACTCAGCTTTTTAAAAGTGTATCAATGTTGAACCTAACCTTCCCTCCATTTATGTCACTTTCCTGTCCTTCAAAATGGTCTACAAACCCCTCAAAAACACAGGAAAGAAGATACACTCCCTTATCCCAGGATATCCCCCTGGACTTTTCAAGATGCAAATGACAAGCAGCACCCTCTTTACCCCAAGCGCTGGGGTCAATATGCTCCCGCTAGCAGCCCGTAGGGCTCCTTATCTTACAAGAGGCAGCAAAGGCCTGGTATTCAGAGAAATAACCTTTGGAATCGCTCCTCCACTACAAAGTAGCCACAGCAGTTTACTTGAGGGCACTCTGTTACTGAAGGTTTCAAACTACCCTCCTCCCACAGCTCACCCAAGGTCTGTTGTTTTGCCTCGCCTTTCACAAGGAGCATTTCAAGTCAATCAAAAGCACTGAAAAAGGCTCATGTATTTATGACTCTGGTATCGCTAAGTCTTAACTGAACTCTGAGTGCAAAAGAGACTTTATTAAAATCAGTTATGCAGAGAATCCTCTTAGCTTGTTCTAGGCCCACATGCACAGACATGCTAGCTATGAATGAACTGATACTGAGATACAGCTGCCTAGTTTGTGAGCAGCCCTGTATGTATCAAGGAAGGGAGGGATGTGAGCCCTTGTTGCTCCGGAGAGCAGGTGCTCCACTGGGACAAGTGTGGACTTCCGTACTGACTGCTTGGTTTGGGTATCTTGGGTCTGATGCTCTTCGTGTTGGTCTTTCCAGGCTGCTAATAAATGAAAAGAGCTCGTCTCCCTCCTCTGATCTATCTTCCCCATCCTGGGAAAGGCCTTACCGTATAGTTGGGGTTTCCTGGCTGGATTCGCAGTTCGGCCAAAATCCAAATGCCATTAGTGAGCTTCAGGGACTGGTACAGCATGTCCTGCCCTTCCACATTCCGCTTGGCAATAGTATAAACATTGTTGTTTTGTAATTTGCTGGAAACAGTGTCTAGAAACACAGATTCAAAATCCAACAAGTTAAGATTTCACACAAATGCATGCTACCGGTCTTCTGACATCCTTACCATGTGTATGCCAGTTCCCTGACAAGAACAGCCATGTGCATGTGCACACGTTTCTAAACGCCTTTCTCCCACACAACAGCAAAGGCTGAGGAACAGGCGCTTCAGGTTCCTGTTCCTCCGATTCTTGGACAGAAACAGGATTAAATGCAACCAAGCATTAGTGCAAGAGTTATCTGTAGAGAGTAAGGAATGAGTGGAGCTAAAGAGTGGGTAACAGCTAAACTAGGTGCTAGTTAGACAGGCAGATATGTTCAAAGAGGACCAAGACCTGTGAGCCAAACCTATTAATCTGGATATTTAATTTGAATATCAAAAACACCAACACCACTGCACACACACACACACACACACACCCGCCCCAAATCTACCTGACCCGTGCCCCCATCCCCCAATTTCTTATGCGATAGGCCCTACAGCCCTAGCTGTTGTTGATGGTCATGGTGGAGACTATGGCCATTACCAATGAGGCTAACTAAGAATAAATAGGTCAATGTTTCAGCTGGTCCTCTTGACCCTAGCAACGAAGACTCCCGACAAGCCAGGACAGCAACTCTCCCTCCTCATTCTCTTACTGCTGGATGAGAGACTTAAAAAAGAGAGAATAAAGATTGCTTCTTTGCAGATAATTTACAATGTCCATTTCTGATGAGAATTCAAATCACTCATGCCTACCTTAGGAACAAAATGCTCCCCACATAAAAATCTGTTGTCTTCAACTGCTCTCTGGGAAACGGCATATGCTAGACGACCATTCCATTCGCCTAGATGGTTTGCTTTCTGAACCCAGGGGTCTTGGGAGTTTTCTTGGTTTGGGTTTGGTGCTTACTACAGTGTCTAGGGTAACAACAGGTACTTGTCATCAATATCTGTTGCTTTAAGTATGGTGGAGTGGAACTTCTTAACACGGCTTTCCCAGTTATGTCTCCATAACCCCCACCAAATGACTGAGCGGGACTATGCAAACACGGCATGTAGGACACTCATAAAGGGGATGGGACCAGTCAATTGTTGTCAACACCCCCCTGACTGTAAGGATGAGCCACTTTGGCAGGTAGAGAGAGAAAAAACAGGACCCTTGGCAGAAGGGCCCCCAGTGCCGCACATCTCTGCTTGCAGTGGTGGGGGCTAAGATGAGAGACACTAGAGGCAGAGCAAGGAGACCATGAGGCAGAGGCCAAAGGGACCCACCCTGTGATGGTCAAGGTGGAGACCTGAGGAAGAACTGGCTCCTGGCTGAGGAGAAGAGTTGGTGGGGTTCACTGATTGTAGCCTTACTGTTGATGAATCCTGGCTGTGGTTCACTCCCCTAACCAACAACCAACCAACCGAGTTATCCTGTGTGCTGTCTGTGCGTTGTGTGTAGTTACTGCAACAAATTATCAAACCTAGTGGAGAAGCAGAGAGGAATGGTTGGTGTCAGAATAGGTAAAGAAAGATGGAAGGCAGAGGCATGTTTGACCTCTGCCTCCTGACAATCAGCCATGAGCTGGCATGGACATTGACGCTCCTCCCTTGGTAGCCAAAGGTCATCAGAGGTGGGCCCTGGCTCCTCCACACCATTTTTGCAATCTCTGATTCAGGTGTTGGAAATATCAACAGGTACATAATGCTTTAGGCCTTAGAAACCATCTCCAGAGGTTCAGGCTAAAGGTGGAGGAAGTTCTTGCCCTGATGTCTTCCTCCCACGTTCAGATCAGAGGGCAGAACAATCCCATTAAACATTTTCATCACACTTATCTATTACCTAATGTGTGTGCGTGTGCACACACACGTGTGCATGAGTGCGTGTGTACCAGTCCAGGCTATCACCTTCGTCCTCACAATGAGGGCTCTGGCAGCTTAGGCTGAGTCGCTAGACAACATCACCAGCTGAAGTATGGCTAAAACACCTTTTAAGTATGCTGCCTTTAACACACCGGGTCCTGCTTTCGGTTGTAAAACTCACTCCCAACTTCCAAGGCTGTTACTCATGTCCCCAGGAAACCAAGCACAGTGGGGGCCTTTGCTGAAGAGCCACCTGTTGCAGAGGCACAAACATGTTCTGGGCTCTTTATATAGCCAGCCCTGGCTTCCTGAAGACTTCCCATCACTCCCCACCTATGCAGGAGACAGAAACACATGCACACTCACTCACTCACTTTTTCCAGAATTAAAAACCATGGCAAGCAGCCAGGTAGGACGTGCAAGTTAATGGATATAACTTGAATATATTTGGAAGCATTGGCCGAGAATCAGCTCTGCTCCTACTGAATGGCTGTACTATGATTTCTACCAGAAGGCAATACAGGTAGGGATCTTTAACATAAATATGCATTAAGCAATTTTTACAAATGTGAGATATTAGGCATGACTTGATGATTTATAGGATTTACATCATTTATAGAGTGCAGGTTAGGCAGCTTTGCTAAATGTATTTATTCAGACTAGAAATGGGAGCCACATGTAAGGTGGGAGCAAAACTGGGATAAACGTCTTGAAAACACACATTTTTCTCCTTTTCCATTCCTAACCCCTGGGAAGCACCAGGGAATTCTAGTGTAAGATGCTAAGAATGAGAATGTAGTGTCAACTGCTCAGTGTGTGCTGATTGCGTGAAAACTTTCCATAGCAGGAGAGTCTAAAGCGGTGGCTGCTTGAGTTACCAAGCATTGCTAGTAACGGAAATACCAAAAGGGGTGGATCTCCCTTATATCTCAAGAGAGGCTTGAGGCAAAACATTCCCTACACCAATCCTGCCTCAGTAACACAGAAAGACACCCCTTTCCCAGATGACCTTATAACCACAAGGTTAGGGTTTATAACACATATTTTGGGGGTACACAGTTCAATTCATAGCAATGGTCTAAGAAGGTTACTATGAACAACTGGAAAGAAAACCCCAAACCCCCCAAACCCAGTGACCTCCTAAAGAGACTACTTCCCACAGTATGGGCAGAGCCATGACAAAACAAAGAAATGCAACTCCCCCTCACTGGAAGACTCTGGTTTGCCTTACCACGGTGCCTAGCCTAACAAACGAGATCCAGCACGTCGCTAAGCTTTCCAGAGTGCAATCAACATACACTTTAAAAAGAGGTGAGAAGAACTCTGCCAGAAAGAGTCCTTTCTGGATAGGGCTGGAGATGCAACTACTTCTTGTTCACTTAAGACAGTGGTCCCAGACACACAGTAACTCCCAGTGCTCCGGTCACGGTGTGATGCACAACACACTCCTACAGATCTCTTGGTACTCTTGGAGAAGATCAGTGTGGGGAAGCAGGAGTCCCATACACTGGTGCCTTTCTAGCATTTTCTCATGTTCATACAACTTATGGTACCAACCCCACCATGACATACCCCTTTTCTATTAAAACCTGATGAATCAGGGAGACTTGGGAAGATAATTCCTTTCTACTTTATTCTCTAGAAAGAGATGGCAAAGCGAAGCACAAATCCACAATAGGTTAGTAAGTCCTGTGAGGCTGTGATTTCCTTTAGTCTTCAGTGTTAGTTCCATCTGTCAAATGTCTTCGCTGGCACAGAAAAGCTATTTAAAGGGTTGGTGCTATTGTGATTAGGGCAGATCAGCTGGAAAGCCTGATTTATTTTTAGCTCTCAGCTAGACTCAGTGTGTTGAATCAGAAGGCACAAAATTGAAAATGCTCATGTTAATAGTGCTGTAAAAACTGAGAATAAATGTGAAAGGCCAGAGCACTCCAGACTTTGGGGTGGAATCAAGGCAAGGGGCTTTAAGGAATTCATTGTGGGCTGCATCTTGTGAGATTGGCAAACTGGAAAAACGATGACTTTTGTCTCCTGGAAAAAACATATAGCCCAAAGCCATGGCAGAACTGGATTAAAACAAAACTTGCTCTGAAAAACCATTCCAGACTACATCAAAGGACACAACCCGCCGAGAGGCAGGCCAGACTCCTCTCTGGGAGATCACACTGAAACAAGGTGCAACCTGGAAGCCGAGTGATCTTTCCTTTCTAGTCTTCGGCAGGCCAGACTGTCCAGTTTCTTTTGTGAAAATTCCCATCTCTTCCAAACCAGACCTGTGAAAACAGGCCTGCTGTCCAGTGACTCTAATCTTTCTCTGCATTTCCTGTATTATGTTCAAGATACACTGGCGCTCCATAGTTATCTGTAAGCATTGTGTGATTTTAAATACCATGCTCAAGTCAATTCAGCCAACATTGGGCTCAAGAGTTTTTTCCCATAAAGGACTTCAGTATGCTATGTGCAATGTCAGCTTCTGAGAAGCATAGAATATGCTATAGCTTTAAAGTTTTCATTATGCTTAGCAACAACCCCCCCTCCCCCCTCCACCAAGGGACAGGTATTCTCAAAAACCTACTACACAGTTGCTGTCACCAGGCCAAATGCCCTAAGAGTGACATACCCTATAGGCCTGGGCTTCTCCGAGCTGGTGCAGAGGCGGCTTTCCTAACAGGATCCGCTCTGGTTCGTGCCATTGGCCTCTACATATTCTGTACAGTAGTGTTTCCTAAAGACAGGCTTGCATTGTGGGAAAGTTGCCCAGCCTCCTGCCTCATCAAACGAGGTTCACAGACCAATGAGTCTCAAAGAGGGGACAAACAACACTGCCATCTACCTAGACCACACACGCAGTTCAGTGTGAGTACAGTTTCTTGTGAGGCAGAGAAAAGGGTATCGTTTACTAGACACACCATCAGTCAGGACGAGAAACCAGAGAGCTGGTGTGCTCGCATAGTGCCAACTAACTGTGGAAATGATATAAACCTTCTCTCAAACCCTCTCCAAGGCTTCGGGAGAAGTCAGATGATCATTATCAAGAGAACTCCTACACTCAGACGCTTGTCTGTCTGGTCTTTCTGAGTTTACATGTTCAGCACATTTAAAAGGTTTCACAGGAAGAGGCTATTATTATTCAGGTGGACTTTCAAAGTTTTACTGGAAAGATGATAGAGAAAATTTGTCTAAACACAGAAAATGAATACACCATAAAGGCCCAGTACACATAATCAAAAGTAAAAGGTGGAATGAGAAGACAGAACTGCCAGATGCCCTCCCTTCTCCAGGAATGGCTGCAATGGGAGAGGAACAACATGTTGAAGCCCACTGGGAAAGCCACTATAGTTCAGAGAGGCAAGATGGGCGAATGAAGAAAAAGAACTGACCAAGCACCAAGACTCACTCTTATTCAAACTCATCCAGCTAGTACTAACCTCCAAAGAGAGAATGGAACAAAAGCAGGCCTCTCCATAGCTTAGGACAGGGGTCCTCAAACTTTTAAAACAGGGGGCCAGTTCACTGTCCCTCAGACTCGTTGGAGGGCTGGACTGTAGTTTAAAAAAAAAAAAAACTATGAACAAATTCCTATGCACACTGCACATATCTAATTTTGAAGTTAAAAAAAACAAACGGGGTAAAAACACCCGGCAGGCCGGATAAATGTCCTCAGCGGGCTGAAAGTAGCCTGCGGGCCGTAGTTTGAGGACGCCTGGCTTAGAGGCTGCTCCAGAGGAACACTTCAGTGAAAGAAAGCCCCAAGGCAGATAGCTGCGACTGGTTCTGTCTCCACTTACCTCCTGTATGTTCTAGGACAGTAATAACATGAACTATAAAAGGGTCTGGGGCTTCTACTGGTGATTAAAGAAATTATGTAGTATGAAAGCTGGCAGAAGGCAGGAAGGAAAAAGGTTAACACCCAGGCTTTAATTAACTGTCATGTCTTCTCATTTAATTATAAACACAGGATTCTAAACATAGCATTCCAATAATGATGGTTGATAAAAGGAAGACACCCCCCCCTCCCCACTGCAGTCCTCCCTGACACCACCAACAAACAACCCCACCCTCCCAACAACAGACAGAAACCACTGCCATCCAAGTGCCACGCCAACTCCCTGCAAGCTTAGGGTGTTCAAGCGCTATGGTGACAATGTCTTATCTACTGAAGAACTACGTAGATCAGTGCTTCTTAACCTTCCCAATGCCACGACACTTTAATACAGCTCCTCATGTGGTGGGGACTCCAACCATAAAATGATTTTCGTTGCTACTTCATAACTGTCATTTTGCTACTGTTATGAATCATAATGTAAATATCTGATATGCAGGATTTCATTAGGCGACCCTCTGAAAGGGTCCTTTGATCCCCAAAGGGGTCTTGACCCACGGGTTGAGAACCACTGAGGTAGATGAATCCAGTCTAATTGTTTTTAAAATCTGTTAGCTTAGATAAGTAATCTGGTACCCACATCTAAAACAACCCTCACATTTTAAAGATATTAGACTTATTAGTAACAAGGTCGGTGTGGAAAAGGTAGGTAATGATCAAAGTGTCAGGCAATTAATTTGATTGAGAGGGACATGTAACTTAAGAGTCATTACTTACCAGCATTTAAATGACATTCCTTAATCTGAAACTGAAGTTCATTTTCATTAGGAATATCCTTCCAGGTTGCAAGGAAGACCTGGCGCTCTGTATGAGGAAGCAGAAAGGAAGGCTATGTACCATATCTGTCTGTGTTCTCATGTCGGATGCCTTTTGCCATTTCCTCTTTGAGGGGGTTTCCTGCAATACAGCTAGCAGCATCCTGGTGCTAGAACAGACTTACAGCAGGTGCTACATGCCAGGTCAATTAATCCATTAGTGGAGAGTTTAAAAGTCAGACTGCCCAAGGTTGTAGTTTTGGCTCTACTGTCTTCCTGTTTGAATAACTAAGTCTTACAACCTCGAGTCTTAATTTCTTCACAGATGCAAGGAATTACATCTATCCTGTCTACCCAGAGTCACTGTGAGAATCAGATCAATGAAGTGCCAAAGTAATTTAATCCATTCCAATATAACTGTTTTCCTAAGTATATAAAGCGAGAGATCAGAAACTTCACAAAGGATATACTAAATTTACTACAAATGACTGAAAATGAGGCTGTAAGAACTTAGCTCAGGAGTAAGTGCTACATTTATGTGGATTATCTCCTTAAGTTATTATAAAAACGATTTCTACTCTGCAAACGTAGAGAGCCAGAAAAGTTAAACATTTTGCCCATGGTCACAGCTAATAAATAGCAAGAATGAGATGAAATCCACATCTCCTGTCACCAGATCACTCGCTCTGCATCCTGGTGGCTGTTCTTGTTGAGGTGCCGGCCACTGTGATGGAGAGACCAACAGCAGAGCAAGCATAACTGTGGTTCAGGGGAATAAACAATTGGCAATTGTTAGTTTGCACTTATGGGACTATGCTCTATCTGACATTCAAAGGTAGGGCAAAGGTCTATTTGGTAGAAGGGACAAGAGGATGTTCTTACCCATTTTGCCATCTTCTACAAAAAGCACATTGAGCGGAATGAGGCAGCTGAAGTAGAAGACATCAATATTGTTTTTCACAGCCACCTGCCAGGAAAGTAAAAAGGGAAAATCAGGACATCACAGGAAGTAGGTAGGAAGGAAAGAAGGTAGTGTCTAGAAATATACCAGCCTATTTCCTTTCTCTTTAGACAGTGCAGACCTCCCCCAAATCAAGATCTAGCAGTCATACATGCAAAACACTTCCTTTCCTATTTCTTTGTCACAGCACTATGACAACCCGCACCTCTACCTCCCCAAGAGGGTTGTCTCAGAGGCACAGCTTCTATAGTTAGAATAACGTTATTAGTTATTTTCTATTTCTGAGATTACTAAAGGTAGTTACTGTCACTTACTAAGTACTTACTAATGGCATTAGAATCCTCATCAAAACTATCCCAACAAAGGTCATACCCCTCTCATTTCAGATGAGGAAATGGAGGTCTAGAGAGTAGCATCCAGGGTCCCAAAGCGAGTGCCCAGAAGAGCCAGGATTCAAGCTCAGATGTGTCTGACCCCAAACCTTGTTTTGTTTTTCTTTCCTCTCCAGAATAACTAGAGCTATACAAGGGGGTACCCCCCCCCCAAAAAAAAACCCAATGCTCATTTGTTTTTGATGTGAGGGGGATAGAGAATTTGGAGTTCGTTCTACCAGATCAGACTGTTAATCAAGCTATTTAGAGGTTTTGAAAAGATTGAGTAACAGTATGTGGCAAAAAAGATCTAATTTGTGACCGACGGGGGACTGGTTTTGCCTCCACGACAATGTACCTTCTCACGCAGGCATCCAAATGAGGCTAGTTTTTGGCAAAAACAGCATGTCTCTATTGCACCATGCACCTGACCTCACTCCGTGCAACTTCTTTTTGTCTTTGAGAATGAAAAGGGGCATGAAAGAGTAGCAATTTGAAGTGTATAAGAGGTGAAGAAAAAACGTGGGAGGTGCACATCCATATACGAGTTTGAAAAATGTTTCCAAGAATGAAATCGCAGATTTGACAGATGTAGAAGTGTAATGGAGTACTTTGAAGGTGATAAGGTTGTTTTGTAAAGAAATTTAAATACATAGCTTTGGGGGAAAATTTCCTTTTTTGGAGGGGGGGGGGATTACTCCCTTATATTATCCCCCACCTACCCTTTTTAAGACACTCATTTTAAAATCGTTTGCTTTATAAAAAAATTATTTTGCTA